CCGAGGGCGACCACACCCCGACCGCCGGTCGCCCAGGTGAAGCGCAGCCGCGGGGCGGGCGGCGTCCTCCTGGAGGCATCGGGAAGAGCCCAGGGGCAGTCCGCGATTCCAGCGGGCAAAGGAAGGGCGGCGGTGCCCGCGGCGCGGGAGTCAGAGCTGGGGGTGGCGGGAAAGCAGAGGCCGGGGCGAGGAGCGGGGCGCCCGCCGGATCGCGGGCTCCCGGGATGCGGAGAATCGGAGCAGCCCTCTGGCAGAGCTCGGCGCTGTGCCCGGCCACCCACTGCCCGCCAGACGCGCCGGCCCCGACTGGTAAGCACACGGCCGCCCTCAGGCCTCCGCGGGGCCCTTTCCTCACCGGGCCGCTTTTCCCGATCAACACCAGGCTTACCCCGGCCCCTTCTTCAGCACTGAGCCGAGTGCACCCTTCCAACTGATCTTCCTCTGTGTTTGGAAACAACCAACGCCCCGCCCTCAGCCCGCTTCCTCTCTATGCCCTTCTTCTGCTTAGTCTCTTTCTCACGGCGTTTCACGGTCTGACACATCTCACTTGTCTGCCTCCTGCAGTAAGCATGTGGGTGCCTGCGGGGCAAGGACCCTGTCTTGCTCTGGTATACAGAGTTTCTGGTATACAGCAGGTGCTTCATAAATGCCGGGTGCATACAATGGGCACATTAACAATAGAGCTGGCAGTTACACAGAGAGAGTATCTTCTATGATTAAAAAAAAAATTAAAGTGGGTGTGACGGCACAAGCCTGCAATCCTAGCGCTCTGGGAGACCAAAGCAGGAGGATCACAAGTTCAACCCCAGCCCAGGCAACTTAGCGAGACTCTGTCTCAAAATAAAAAAGGAAATTGGCTGCAGCTCAATGTAGAGGCCCTGGGTTCGATCCCCAGTACTTCCTTCACTCCGCGAATTACCAATGTATCTGCTGGGGGAAGAATGGTATAGATGGAGTTAATGCTGCCTTTTTTTTTTGGTCTTTTTGAGACGGGGTCTCGCTGTGCAGTTCAGGCTGGCCTTGAGCTCACTTTGTAGCCCAGGCTGGCCTCGAACTCACAACGATCCTCCTGCCTCAGCCTCCCGAGTGCTGGGATTACAGGTGTGTGCCACCACACTGGCTTAATGCTGCCTCTTTAAAACCTTCTGTGCTTGCATATAAAGCTCCTCTCAGGCTGGAGAACAAAATAGATGAATCAAAAAAAACACAGAACTTACTGTTCTCTTGCTGAAATCCAACAAAGTTTGTCATTCCCATCTTGTTTCAAAATGTTCATTAGTGCCTCTCTGGACGAATTTTTATAAACAGTTCCTAAGAAATTGCACAAGTAGGGCCTCGCATCGTACACCATTGACCAAGTCGCCTCCACCACGGGAAAGTTCCTGTACCTAGAAAAACACGCACACGAGTTACTGTCTGACACAGGACTGGCGAAAGCTTCACAGCCCAACTTCTTAGGTAGCTAAGCAGACAGGAGAGACTTCAAACACGGTTTCTCAATTTCAGGTTATAATTTTGTTTGGAAGAATAACTTACTCTGGGAAAGTCTCTGAATTCATGGATTTAAAACTTCCTCACCCTCGCACCTCTTTACAAAAATGTCCTAAAAACTTTACGCCTAACATCTTCTGTTTTTGGCGTTCTTTAATGTTTACAAGGCGCAATCAAAATATATGGTGAACATGTAATTTTAAAAAAGTTTATTCCAGTAAAAGACACACTGCCATTCTTCTCACTCAGAACACTGTAGTCCTCACGGCTTGGCACACAGGTAGTGCGTGTTCTTGTCACTTTTTGAAGCAGCTCCTTTTTCGGTGTCTTCATAAGATGCGATAAAAAAATACAGCGAACGCTGCTGCTGAGTGCCATCAGCAGAAAGGCAGCTGGTGAAAACATTACTGTGCCCTCCGCCACTTCATCCACTGGGCCGGGCGCTGTGTGACTTCTGGTTCTTCTTCAGAGTCAAAACCATCATGGAAGGTGAACGTCTGAACTGACCCAGGACCCTGAGGCAGCTACCGCAGTGCAGCAAAGAACACCCATGACAGAGGCCTGCCCGAGCTGTTCCAGGAGGTGGCAACGGTGATGGGGTAAGTGCGTGGGAAGCGAGGGCAGTGTCCTGCGTGAAGTTAAAGGCAATGTGTCCTTTACTGTAATCACTGTCTTACAAATTTAAATACTCAGGCATGATGAATTCCAGACTTTCAACTTCTATAGCAGTTTCTACTTTTACAATGATCCTAGTTTAATCAATGTTTTCGCCAGGTGATGGGAAGATTACTGAATACTTCTGAAAAGGGAGATTTTGATCAAAGGTATAAAGTTTCACTTAGGAATAAACTTTATCAATCTATCATAAAGAACTGTGACTATGCATTTCATACTTCAAAATTGGTAAAAAAGATTTAAAAAAATTTTATCACAAAAAAACAGTAAGTATGTGAACTGCTGGATTTATTAGCATGATTTAAACACTCTGCATTGTGAATACATACTGAGATACTATATTATATTCCACAAACAAAAAAAGAAAAGAGAAAGATTATAGAGTATATATTACTATAGCAAAGAGCTCTGAAAAATTATCTTTTCAAGTAGCTTAAAACCGATAAAAAACCAGTTAGGCGTGGTGGCGCACACCTGTAATCCCAGCACTTGGGAGGCTGAGGCAGGAGGATCACTGCAACCTTGAGGCCACAAACCCACCAACCAACCAAGCAAACAAAAGCTGGTATGCCACATAAGGCAGGGCTACCGCAAGTGCCTTGTTCTTATGGCAATTTGTGAATAAGAAGGACCACTGTGTGTGTCTGAAATATTACCTTCACAAGAGAACAAAGTTTATAGTAACCATTCACCTGTAACAAGGCTTCCAACCTTAGCACTGCCCACACAGGGCCGGGAGCTTCTGCCACGGAGCCGCCCCGTATGCGGTGAGTGTTTAGCAGCGTCTCTGCTCTGCTTCTCAGCTGCCAGGTGTGACAACCTCCTCCCTTTGTTTGTGACAATCAAACACTTTTGCAACACTGCCAAATAGCTCCAGGGCAGAGGGCAAGACTAAGCCCAGTTGATAACTGCTGATCTTTCAGAAATACACCGGCCTAGCCAAGATCTAGCAGAATTAGCGTGTCTCCATCTCACACATATGAAGAGGTATGACTGCTATTGTGGAAAAGTAAAAGGCTTCAAAACGTTTTACAAATAGGGTCTCTTCTCCAGGGACAGGCTCTGCAGAGGACTTTTAGCGGGAGGTACTAAACAAGACCCTCTATGACCGGCACTACCGCAGACTTACTGAGTCTGAATACTGCAAAAATAGGCCTGCGAGTGTCTCAGTAGCATGCTTTCCTGGTGACACGGGTGCAGCTTAACTAGGCAGTAGTCTAAGGCTACGTGTAGTAACCGGTGACAGAATAACGAATGTCTGCTTCCACAATCACGCCAGTGAGGTAATTCGTCCACCCCACAAGCACTTCCTGAAAGCCGACCGCGTGCAGGTGCTACTTCAGGCTCTGTGGATGGAGCAGTGAACAGAAGTGAAAAAATTCCCGTCTTCAGGAGGCTTTTGTACTAGTGGCAACTTGTCTTAATGTCAACTTGCTTTTTCATAAAAAGCTTTCATTAGCACATAGGTAAGAGATGTTTTCTTTTTTTTTTTTTTTTGAGACAGGCTCTCGATATGTAGTTCACGCTGGCCTCTGACTCACTAGGTAGCCCAGGCTGGGCTTGAACTTGTGTCGATCCTCCTGCCTCTGTCTCCCGAGGGCTGGGATTACAGGTGTGCACCACCATGCCCGGCATGTTTTCCATTTTGTAGCTAGGGAAAGACTATTGAGAAAACCTCTGTTATAATTTCATTAACCTTTTACAGAAAGGATTTGTAAAAACGCAGCCCTTCCATATGCAAAGAGACGGTACCCTACTGTTATAACATCGCCTTAAAAGAAAGTGAAACTATGAGTTATATACCATCTACTATCATTCTTAATTCCCTGCTAAACATCTCTTTAAGGAACTCCTTGGGGTTTTACAACAAAAAAGGTAACTCGTCCATTCTCCTCCAAGGGGATAAGATACTCTTAAAAATAACGTGACTGGAGTGTGAGACAACACTTCACGCTCTGCCGTTAGAAAAGATTGCCTCCGAGGGCTGGGGACGTAGCTCAGCGGCATAAGCACCTGCCTGGCAAGCACAAGGTCCTGAGTTCGATTCCTGGTACAAAAAACCCCCAAGAACACATAGAAAAGACTGCCTCTGGCTTACTGATGCCAGAGAAACCGCATCTATTACCATTTACAACACAGTCTTCCTGCGTCAGACATTCAGGTCTCAAGAGTGCAGAAATTTTGTTTTTGGAACCGAACATCAAACGCAGGACCTCGTGCTCCCAGGCAGGCGCCGTGCGGCTCGTCTCCACCCCGGGCCCCACAAATGTTTAAATATCTGATACTCACGTCGCTACTCCTAAGGGCCACTGGAACACATCCACGTCGTTGACCCACGGGCTGTCGTAGGTCACGAAGAGCAGCTCCACGAAGCCGCCGCGGCTGCGCAGGAACGGGGCCAGCCAGGCGTTGTCGCAGCGCTCGTTGCCCAGCAACAGCACCGCCACGTGGCGCAGCGCGCGCGCCCGCACCAGGCTCTGCGCGAACAGCAGCCACTGGGCGGCGGCCGAGGCCTTGGCGCGCTCCCTCCCGTTCAGAACCAGCACCACGCTGCTCACGTCGGCGGAGAAGTACCCGGGGAGCACCGCCGGGCCGGTGATGAAACTGCAAAGCGCAGATCAGAGACAGTCACACGCAGAGCAAGGGCACATGGTACCCTAAGTTTCCGGCCATTTCACTTAGAAACCTACAAAGAGACTGGCTGCATATTCTCTCTAGAACTACAACGTCTATAACGCAAGCTCTTTTCAGCCAGTTTGGACGATGAGACACGGCTGCAGACCAGCGGGGAGCTGTGGCTGCAGACAGATCAACGTCCACTTGGTCATCAGAATGTGAGAACGTTTTTGTTCAACTTCGCTTAAATATTCCATAAGGTTAGTTCTCAAAATGTAAAGGAAGAAAGCTTCATAACATTCCTACAATATGGTAATTTTATGTAAATTTGAAAAGTACACACAAAAATACTTATATGGCTAGTATTGGCATAAATATAAAAATTTTAATGGTGCTTGGGTGTGGCAGTGCATGCCTATAACCCAAACTCTTGGGAGGCTGAGGCAGGAGAATTGCTGTGAGTTTGAGGCCAGCCTGGGCTACAGAGTTCGAGGCCAGCCTGAACTACATAGCGAGACCCTGTCTCAGAAAAAAAAAAAAAAAGAATGGAAAGCTACACATCAAATTCATGATAATGATGGCCTCTGGAAGGGGAGTGAGAGGAAAAGGACTGGGGAGCAGGTGAAAGAACTTCACTTTTACTGGAAATACCGACTGACTGTGGTACTGCAGATCACGCTGAGCTGTGTCCCCAGCCCTTTCTTTACTTTTGAGTTAGGGTCTTGCTAAGTTCCCCAGGCTGAGTTTGAACTTAGGACTGTCCTGCCTCAGCCTCCCACAGTACTGGGATTACAGGCGTGTATCAGTATGTCCAGCTAGAAATATTTAATTCTTTTAAGGGGAAAGTTAAATATCCAAGCTCGTGACAGTGAGCTGCAATTTGTTACTTCTGGGTGGGAATTTATTGCGTTCCTCTGTTTTTCATGACTTAAAAAAAATTCATAAAAGGAGTAGATATGTTTCATAAGTGCTTTTCATATTATAAGTTGCCTAGGACAACCTTTACCTCATATGTATTAACTATAAAAATACTGTTAAATTCATCTTAAAATCAGTCGCACTGATCCTGGATTCTTTAAAAGCTGAGTTCTTGAAGCATTTCTTCCTATCTTGCTAGAGTCTTAACCTTTAACATAGATGTACCAGACGCCTTCTTTTATTGCTTATTACTGCTGGGGATAAAAACGAATCGCTTTTCAACGTCCCTTCGATACACGACACACAAGCACTGCGCGGGTTATAATTTGTCCCCAGGGCGACTCTGCAGGGTGCAGTTCTGAGCGGGGGAAATCACTCTCCGCCGCACCGCTTGTGCCCGCAACGCTGAGCTTAAGAGAGAGGAACGTGGAGAGTGAGCCCAAGCCGCCTGGGGCCCGAGGGTGCGCACAGGGAGCGCGGGTTCCCCCGCACTGCCGGAGCGCTGGCTCGGCTGGGGAGGGGCGGCGGGTTAGGAAGACAGAAGCCGCCGGTGCGCCGGGGAATCCTTGGGAGGGTGACACGGGAAGGCTGTGTGCTCCGGTCCAGTCTGGGCGACTTAGTGACTTAGCAAGATCCTGTCTCAAAATAGAAATATAAAAAAGAGGCTGGGGATACAGCTCCGTGTGACGGCCCTGCGTTCAATCCTCAGCACAAAAAAAAAAAAAAAAAAAAAACAGTTTGCAAAACACTTTAATGCACATTCTGGCACAGAGTTGCCCCTTAATAAACGTTAGCGAAGGGGCTGGGGATTTAGCTCAGCGGCAAAAGCGCCTGCCTGGCAAGTGCAAGGTCGTGAGTTCGGTTCCCGGTACCGGAGAAAAACCAAAAAAAAAAAAAAAAAAAAAAAAAAAAAAAAAAAAAAAAAAAAAAAAAAAAAAAAAAAAAAAAAAAAAAAAAAAAAAAAATTTAGCGATTAGCCTGCAAAAAAGAGACGAGAAGTACACGTGATCAAACGCTAATTGTAGAACTTCCAGTTTTGGAATTCTGGGGAAACAATTACAAGTTATCAAGAATTTACCTGTTCTGAATATTCCAAATGGTTATCATGTCCACTTCTTAGTCTTTTTAATTATAAATCTAGCTTTAAGAAACTCTAATTTTAATATAAATGACTTGACATTTTTTCTTTTGCTGTGTTCTGGTACCAGGTCTGGAACTCAGGGCCTCGTGCTTGCCAGGCAGGCGCTGTGCGGCTGAGCTACGTCCCCGGCCCCAGCTTACAAATTCGGAGTACTGAACGTTTATACAAATTAAAATCTTAAGTCGGTCAAAAACCCTAAGACATTTTGTAATTCAGTTTTAAAAGTTACTTTATATTCTTCTGTATCATTAAAATTTTTTAAAAATTCAGATTATCTTAGGCCTTTTAATTACAGTCCCTCAGTAACGAGAAACATGTTGTATTTATATGGGAAAAACCAACACACAAGTGTCCTGGTCAGCCTGAGCTGCGCGGCATGCTGAGGGGGCCGACAGAGACGACCGCACGTCTTCGGCAGCCCGCACCAGGCAGGAGGCACGGCCGTCTGCCGAGAAGCGGGTCGGAGGGGTGGGCCGGGCTCCCGGGGAGCAGACACCTCCCGCCCCCATCCGCTGCCCTTCTACCCAGGGGTCTCCTTCCAATCGTCCCTCCGCACAGCTGTTAGAGAAGCACGCACGGGCCGCCCTTTAGTCCACTGAAGTTACTAGTTACGCACCGTCACACGACCGCGGTAACGGAAGAGTAAGCACGGAACGAGCGCATGTACAGAATTTTAAAATATGATTTGCTTTTCTAGATTTCTAACACACACTATTCATTGTAACTTAGTTTGAGTGTTTTTCTTCTGCTTTGCTCACTTGAAAAATTCCCTCCTAATATTTGCAATATTTAGAAAGCCCTAAGGAATCCTTCACACATTTCACTTTTTTTTTCTCTGCCTTTTTGAGACAGGGTCTCCCTATGCAGTTCTGGCTGGCTTTGGACTCACTTTGTAGCCCAGGCTGGCCTCGAGCTCACAACGATCCTCCTGCCTCAGCTTCCAAAGTGCTGGGATTCCCAGCCCGCATATTCAGTTCTAAAGCTCACTGTGAAACAATGTATTTTTAGAATTCAGTATACTTAGTTCCATTCTTTATAAATTCAGCAAGGGCTACTGAATAAATACTGCATGATTCATTATTATACTTAGAGAATGACTGATGTGAAAGTACCCACTACTCAGAAACGTCTTAAATGGTAAGTGTACAAGGCAGGCAGTCACACGACTGTCAGCCATGGTTTTTTTTTTTTTTTTTCTTAATACACGGAGAAAGTTCAGTTTTGCAAACAGCACACATGCGCCTAAGCGGTGAGCAGGCCTCACACGTGAGCAGCTGTTCCGAGTCTCCCTGTCACCCTGGTCAGCGTCACTGCGGGACTCCACCCCGGCGACGGAGATCCTTTCAGAGACCCTGTGCCCCAACCGCAACCCCAAACCCACGTGTTTACCGCGAGGCCCCAACACAGCAGCTGAACCCGAACCTGAACCCGTGACGCCATCGCAGAGGGCTCTGCGCGGCGGGAGCAGCGCGCGAGCTGCGGGTCAGCACCGCGTCAGCGCCGCCTTCGCTCGGTCTCCGGGCGGACTCCCGACCTCCAGGCAGCTCATCCAGAGCGGGGCTGCGCGGAGCGACGTGCTCGGAGCGGACACAGCGTCAGGTCACGCTTATGCTCAAACCTACTAATCTCAGAGACTGCACATGGCTCCCTGTGATAGTTCCTTCAGAAAATGTGTGTCTAGATTTCCAGTTTACAAGTGAACTTTTAGCGTTTATAATTTGGATGTTACCTGTAACACATTTTTATTGATTTAACCTTCTAGTAACAATATAGCTTTGATTCACTGTATAACACTAATACTGTATTAATTTCATTTTAGTGCCCATATTAAGTTTAAAACGTCATTTTTGCTCTGCACCCTCCTCCCCTTATGAAGCCAGCTTTTTTCAAATGTGAGATTCTCCTACTTTTATTTTTATATTTGTTTATCTGCTACTTAGCATAAAGATATGAAGCAGTGTTTACAAATGTGTTGGTTTACACCAAAGTATAGTACAACAACCATTGATAATTTCCTACCATTTTTGTCTGCAATTCACTATTATTTGTCTATTTGTTTTCCTGAGAAACTATCTTGAAGATACCAATAGGTAAAATAACAACCATTGATAACTTCCTGCCACTTTGTAATTGATAAGTCCCCCTATTACCGTGTTAACCTTCTTTTACTCTTTAAAATAAAATTTAAAAAAAACCCAAAAAAACCAAATGTACTGGTTTACTGTTACTTATTTTGCTTTATGAAGAGTTAGGTTTCCTGTTTAGGATAAACGCTGTCCTCCACTTTTATGCTTGGTTTACTTTACGTCAATGAATCTGGATTTTAAAATCTGTATTTGTTTTCAGTACAGCCCTGGATAATAGTTGAGTTAATAATAGCTCAAACCAGAATTTCAAAGGGAATCTTTAGTACAGCACTGTTTAGGGGATACTTTTACATCATGTTGATTTCATACTTTTTACCTCTTGAATTTCCTTAAAAATTTTCCTCCCTTTGCTCGCTGCGGATTGGACCAGAGCCCTGCAACATGGTAAGCATGTGTTTAAATACTGCACACCCCCGACCTCTTCCTTTCAGATTCTAATTCTGTATATCCTTAGGCCTCTGCCCACCCCTCTACCCCAACACATCCTAAGGTCTGCTTATATAAACACGAAGATATGAGGCAGTATTTACAAAAGCATTGATTTATTATTACCTTCTTTTAACCTAAACTCTTCCACTCTTTTTTCGCCCTAATGAATTAAAGTCTATCTGTCTGGATATGGCGGCACATGCTATAATCCTAGCTCCCTGGAAGGCCAAGGCAGAAGGACTGTGAGTTCAAGGCCAACCTGGGCATCTTAGCAAGATACTGTTTCATATAAGATAAAAAAAATGGGGGTGTGATTTAGGGGTACAGCACTTGCCTAGTATGCATGATGCCCT